TTTTAAACTTGGAGCTTTAAATTGTTGTCTCATGTGCTTTAAGCACTTGCGTCATCCAGGCACGGCTAATGTTCTGTTTTCTCCCTCTTCAGATCGAGGCAACGACAACTGGCTGATCAAGTATGAGAAGCCAGGAGAGGGAGACGAAAGTGATAAGGTATGCTGCGTTAGTAGTAATGCTTCATCCTGGACGCAGTTACGCTACAGTCAAAGTAAAAGCGATTATCGGTCATCATCAGCCACATGTTGACTAATAAGTGTAATTAATTAACTTAGTTTAAATCAATCGTGTTCTCGATGTTCTCGATGGTCGTTTCAGGACGCTGAGTGGTCGGATAACAGCACAGATTCCTGCATCAAGATAGCAGCCATCGACAATGGCCTGGCCTTCCCCTTTAAACACCCAGACGAGTGGAGAGCATGTATGTCTGTGACTTGTGCTTACTAAGTCTATCTCTAAATTAACAGTTTGAAAGTCTGACAATTATTATAATTATAATGGAAAAAAAAAAATTAATAGAACCTATCTTGCAGGGATTACTCATCGTGTTTCATGTTAAAGAAATTTAAAGACAAGTTAGCCAGTCTGTCAGAGAAGCTGCTTGACATTTTGTCAAATGTCTTACTTACCCTAATCTGTCTGCTTGTAATCAGAAACACACAGCAGATTATTAGCTTAGCTTCAGCTCAAGACAAAGGAGGAAATTATCCATCCTCCTTCCTCTAAAGCTGATATTTAACTTGTTCAAATTCCCTCTTTCTTTAGTGTTTTGTTTTTACTGCAGTGCTTCACAAAGCAAAGTTTAATCAATGATTGTTAAATCAAGTAGAGGATTACACTTTTTGTCTTGATGAATGGTTGCATTAACATTCTTCTGAATTTCATGCCTTCCTATACATCTTACAATTTTACTTGTTTTATGTTTGTGTGTGTGTGTGTTTTGGAGACAAACATCTCTATTCTCTACCTGTAAAATGCACAATACAAAACACTGCTGTGCGATGCCTCACTGTGAAGTGTGCAAGATATACTGATACGTAGGACAGCTGTGAAGAAGAATGGCTCTGGGTTTGGTTGCTGTCTAATGTTGGCTGCCATCCAAAGTTTTATGCTAATGAGGTATTCAGGAAACAAATTTCTGTCTGTTCTGAACCTTGTAGTTTTAGGGATATTGCTGAAGATTCTCCATTTATATTACGTAATGTGCTCATTTTGAGTCGTGGTCACCTGTGATGCACTCAACAAGAATCCTTAGGTTTTTCTACTTTGACTTGAGTTTTGTTTGAAAAATATCTATTGTGCTCTTTTTTTCCAAGCTTCACTTAAATCACTTTTTTACACTAGTGTTCAAACGATACTTTCTATTCCCTGAAGTTCTAAATCAATAGTGATGCTCGTAAAGTTTATAATCTTCACTGCTAGTTAGTCACTTGGTTTATCAAACAATAAAATAGTTTTGATGGTAATTTCTTGTCTAAAACACAAATTATTTGTAAGGAATGAAGTTAAAGTTGATTGTGCTTGTGTCCATCTTTTAGACCCCTTCCACTGGGCGTGGCTCCCTCAGGCCAAGGTGCCTTTCTCCCAGGAGACCAGGGAGCTGGTGCTGTCCCGCATCTCCGACATGAACTTTGTCCAGGACCTCTGTGAGGACCTCTATGAGATGTTCAAGGTGCAAATCAACATGTTTCCAAACAGAGCTGTTGCAATTTTTTACATGGCAGTGCTTGTGCTCACTAACAATAGTGATTTTCTCTGGTTTCAGGCAGATAAAGGCTTTGATAAAACTATGTTTGAGAGACAGATGTCTGTCATGAGAGGACAGGTGAGTTGACAGACTGCTTGAAATAGGTTCTTTTACTTTAACACACACACATATATTGTTTTTATAACAACTTAAGGTGACACTGTTACTTTATCGTTCTGTCTGGAAAATAAACAATACTACTCCTTTAATGCATAAAAAGAAATACAGTGTTACGACTTTGCAAAGCTAAAGGTTCTCAGTCCTCCTGTCCTCCCTTCTTTATTGTTTTATATTATGTTTTTGACAGAGTAAAACATTTTGGTAGTCTTTATTTGTCTAAAAAACACCACTATAATCTTTTGAAGACAACTGATTAAAGTTTTTGTCAGGTTCAGTGTGACAAGCTAAAAAAAAAAAAGTGATCAAATTAATGCTAGTGAGCTGGAGAGAATCAAGACACAGCGAGGTTATAGTCATTTCTTTAGGGATCAATCAAATAATCAGTTTGATAAAGCGGCAGCAAAAGATAAAAGAATGTGGGGGAAAAAGTATTGAACCAAGATCACAGAAAAAAAAAGAATAATTACAAAGCTTTTTAATTAAAATCTGCATGGAATGCAAACGACACGTGGAATATTGCTGTGATGAATTTTAGTAGTACCCGGAAAAGCTAAAATTGCAGCTAACATTTATTTCCGTTTGTTGAAGAATAGCATGACGAAATAGAAAATAAGTACATATTTTGGCTTCAGTGTAAAACGGACAAATGAAATCTGTAATGGCTGCTTAATGTTGAATCAGGTTGATTCTACAGGCTGCAAATTAATAGGTTTGCATGAGTGCAGGCCAGACGACGTATGATACACATTACGGTTTTTCATTTTATGTACAGCTTGATTTTTGTTGTTGTTGCTAATTCTGCCTCCTTTTGAAACATTTCATTTTTAAAAAAATAATATGCACGCAAACAGGACGCGCTGTGTAGCGGCATATTTGATTAACCTTTTCTGTCGTAGGTCCCCAGTCGGCTGCTTCTGCCGTTCACACTGTAACTCTGTGTCCCTGCAGGTGTTGAATCTGACTCAGGCGCTTAAGGATGGAAAGAGTCCCATCCAGCTGGTGCAGATGCCCCGTGTTGTGGTGGAGCGCAGCCGCTCAGGCGGCCAAGGACGGGTGGTCACTCTGGGCAATGCCTTCACACAAACCTTCCACTGCAAACGGCCATTTTTTTCATCTTGGTAAAGCGAGAAACCCGAGGATGAAAGCTAAGGGCAGACTTGTTGGACAGCCTGTTGTTCTGTACCGACATCAGTTTTTGTAATAAGGGAGGATTAAATGAGGGCAGAGATTATGAGACTGGGAACAGTGCAAATCTGTCTTTGGAGTGACGGGAAAGTGAAGGCAAGCATGGATAACAGATCATGCATTGAACTGTATGAAGGGAAGCTAAGTTGAGGCCATTTAATTTAATTTTTTAAGAGAGTGCAGCAAAACGTGGAAGCTGCAGAGATTAACATACCTCGATTTCCTGTCAGTGAGACCCTTTATGCCATTTTGGCGCGGTTGAATAATCAGCTTTTCCACAGAGAGGGCTTTGTTCATTGTTTGGAAAGCAACCTTCTTTTTTTTGTTGTTGTTTTGCAAAAATCCACTCAACTGCATCTGCTGAAGTTTCACATTAGGTCTGTTGGTGGGGTAATTGCCAAAAAGCAGCACTTACACACCGCAACACACCACTTTAGAAGTTAAACAGTGTTGGGTTTATCTAAGGACTGGTCTGTAGGTCTCTCCATTATGGGATTTATTCTGCAGTTTGGAATTTGTCCTCACCTGGAATAAAACCCCCGAATTCTTGCTTTGCCTTAAAGGAATACTTGGTGTAATGTACATGTGGATCTGCACTCACATGGGTCACGCCACTCTGTGCCCATTGTTATTCATATTTCAAAACTGCAATGTCAACAGTGTCTTTAAGTCTACATACTGCCAAAAGTTCTTTTTCTTTCTTTTGAAGAATTACGAAGCCTCACGCTGAGAACCGTGACGAAACTTGAATCTATAGGACCGGCCTGGGGAGGGAGGGCGCTCGAATGTATTCTTTTCACAGTTTACACACGGATTCTATCTCCGAAACATTTCAGTACAAGAGAATGCTGTCACAAATGGGACTTCTCATAACAATGAATGTATTTGTTGTTTGGCATGTGATTTAATTGCTGGCAGCTTTCTCTTGAACCGCGTGCATTAGGGGACGACAAGTCCTCTTTGTAAAATGTTCTTTGAAAAACATTTAGGACAATATTTCTCTTTTTTGCTCGATGCCGTTGTGTTTTCTTATGTATGAATCTTGAAGTTTTTATTCGAACTTGATGATTGTATGAGAGTTGTATATTTAACAAACAAGAAGTAATAAAATTTGGGAAATTTGAATCGTTTAGGGTCAGGTGTCTGTCATACCTGAGGATCCTCAAACTGGAAAAAATGTAGCCTTTGGGTGTTTTACTGGACTCTAATATAAGCTGAGTGTTTGATGTTTAAAAATACATCTGTGTACGTGTGAAATTCATAAGGTTAAGTACACATTCGTTGATATCATGTAAGATTTAAAGTAGTTCTTAACTTGATCGACACGTTCCATTGGAAAGGAAACAGATGTGTGTCACTATAGATTATGGCAGGAAACATTTTCTTTCTTTGTCTTAAACTTTGTCAAGTCTAAAATTATCTATACCTTTAAACACAAGTTTAAATCTACACACATGACTGTGAAACGGAGACAAAATACCAAGAAATGATCACCTGCAAAATAACCATCATCTAAAGGTTCAATTCATGTCCCAAAGCTGTTGCATACTTAATTCAAACTGATCAGTCATTAATTTATATTCAGATCCAATTACTACACATCCAGTCCCACCTGAGGTGAATCTCCATAAATTAGAATAGCATCAAAATTAATTTATGACCTCAATTTGAAAAGCAGAACTCGTGGATTCGTAGCACTGTATTTCAAACATAAAAACATACATATTTAAAATAAAATTAACATTTCATATAAGGTCACTCAAACACTACTATTAGAACAGCAGCTGTGCTGTTGGATTTTATGCCTCTCATCTTTAAAACACTTCACACATGTCCTGGTTTTGAGACTGTCGCATTAGGTTTAAAGGTTTCAAATTGAATCAGCTTCCTGGGATTTCTAGGATATTTTTGCTGTGTCCACTAGATGGCGCTTGGTTCCTAATGCGCTCCCTGTTGGAGGAAAGCCGCACAGGACTGTTTTTTTTTCCCCCTGAAAAACTTAAGTCGCAGCAGTGAAAATATAGACTATGCGAACACGCATGACTGACCGTGAGTTTTTAGGAGCTTCATATAGACGTAGACATGACTCTTAGCAGTCAAACCACAACTTCTTGGGCTACTTAAGGGAAACTTGATGCTGATTTTTTTTAAATGTTTTTCCATCAAATAAATTATTCTGACTTTATGAGGACGAAAATGTTTCCGTTCGAACTTCACGCGCCTGTTAAGATGCGTTTCTTCCCAGCTCTCGTCGTGTTTTTCTTCGTCTTCTTCTTCACCCACGGCCCGTCTGGAGCTGCGCGCCCGGGAAAATGCGGCTCCCGGTGCGACGTGAGCTCCTGTCCGAGCCCCAGCTGTCCCGGCGGCTATGTCCCGGACAAGTGCGGCTGCTGCCTGGTGTGCTCGCCGCGGGAGGGCGACCCTTGCGGCCGCAAGAACGACCTGCCGTGCGGGGACGGCCTGGAGTGCCGGACGCTCGCGGCTTCCGACGCGGGCGGGGAGCGGCGGGGCTCGTCTCGAGGGGTCTGCCGGTGTAAGCAGGACCACGACGTGTGCGGCAGCGACGGGAAGACGTACGGAAACGTCTGCAAGCTGAAAGCCGCCAGCCGGAGAGCCGTGCAGAAAGGGAGAACCGCAGTGAGCCAAGCGCACAAAGGACCGTGTTCGACTCCCGACACAGGTAGGACCGCGGAGCTAAATATGCAAAAATAAAAACCCTTAGGTGATTTATTTATGTGTTTATTTTTTAAAAATGTGCGGTTTCATAACACTGCTGCAACATTGTTGTTGATTTATCATAAAAATATCGAAAAAATAACCCATTTTCAGACGGTTTCAACAAAATAATATTATAGCAGATGCAAAAAAATAAAAACATCTACTTCATCCTTAGAACAAACATTAATAGAAATAAACTTCAAAGTACCAGAGAAGAAGGAAAATAAGTTTTTTTTATTTATTTTTTATGATCACCTTGTGATGATTCCAGGAAAACATGGAAACCGGTGTACTTGTGCAGAAGGGACTTTACTGTCTCTGCCCGTTTTATTCCTATTCTGGTGAAACTCAGATGTTTCCAGAGGGTGAGAAGTCTGTAAAGCTGGAGGGTCAACTTAACACCTGACTTTTTCACTGAGGAGCCATTCTGTTGTCGTAGGTGCTGAATGAGGTTAAGTCATGTCTGACTCTAGTATCCTTATAACAACAAGCTGAGGACTCCTCTTCCTGAGCCTCATCTGGTTTCTAGAAGAATTTCACAGTTTCACTCTTCAGGCCACAAAGTGTGCAGTATTGCTGCGCTACATGAGGATGGAAGGCAGCTGGATATTTGGATTTTTATTTTTCTTTACATTAAAAGTCATGGTAGAATTTTAATTGACATTCAAAAAAATTCAAAATAAAAATAAAAATTGAGAAGGATTTTTGAAGAAGCATGAAGGCCAGTGAAGTCTTTAACTCGCTTGAGCAGAGATGGTCAAACGGTTACAACAGTAGGCATGTATGTACAGGCTTTTACAGGCTGTAAAAGTGCTAACTGGCTTAAATTGTTTTCATAAATATCTCCAGATTTGCCATAAAACCTCTCTAATGAGGTGCAACCCTCACCACTAGTCTTGTGTTTTTTTTTTTTATCTCTGGTTTTTGAGATGTCTGCTTATGTTTCTTCGCAGTTTAAGATAAGAAAATATATTCCAAACCACAAACGTTTCTCTTTGCAGAGGTTTGATATATTTAAATGAAACATACAATAAGGCTAACATGCAAATATGTTTTCTTCCCAACTTGTAGCCTGAATGGTGATGTGCAGCCTGGCGGTATTCATACTCCCTGAATTTCTCCATAATGTGTCGTACTACAACCAGAAACTCCAGTGCCTCCCGTTTTTGGATTTTATTCAGTTGTTCAATAATAACTTGTCAATATTGAAAAGAGGCTTCAAAGAGGCAGAGCAGGACCACAAGAGCAGAGAGAAATTCAAACCATTTCTTCCATCGGTCATAGTGAGGAAGGATCATATTCTCAAGTCCAACGCGTCTCTGCCCGGCTTTCTCACCGTACAGCTGGACAGAGATTTACAGAAGAACAGTGAAAGCAAATGAGGTGGCTGTGACATGTCAAAATATAAAAAGGGTTGCGAGTATTTTTACAAGGACAGGGATGATGTGACTTGTGTTTGCTGTACTTTCTTTGTATTAATACAGCTGGTTTGCTCATGTCGGCGCAGGTCGTTCTCTCACCCGTCCCAGCAGCCCTCGGTACAAGTTCAACTTCATCGCCGATGTCGTGGAGAAAATAGCTCCCGCTGTGGTCCACATCGAACTGTTTGTCAGGTGTGAAATGTGTGAGTGTGTGTGAAGTACAGAGCTGGATGTTAAATGTTCCCTCCAGATCCATCTGACTGGCTCCATTCTTCTGCTCTGGTTTAGTTTGGACTTACTTTAGTCCTTCAAGTGTAGCCTGCCTCACAAGCTGCGTTGACGTCCACTCGGAAGACAAATTGAGAAAAGCAGTTTAATTTTGTTCCTCCATTTCTCTCCAGGCATCCTCTGTTTGGTCGCCACGTGCGTCTGTCCAGCGGGTCCGGCTTCATTGTGACTCACTCAGGTGTGATTGTGACCAATGCTCATGTGGTAACCACCACCGGCACGGTGACCGGGAGGCCGCAGATGCGGGTCCAGCTCCACGACGGAGACGCATACGAGGCTGCGGTCAGGGATGTAGACAGGAAGGCAGACATAGCGACCATCAAGATCAATCCACAGGTCAGAGCGACTCCATGGATTCTTCATGGTCTTTTCTTTCTGGTTATTAAATGAGCCAACGTGAAACATCCTGACACACCCGTGTGACAATTTATAGAGTCTTCCTGCTAGACATTCAGAAAGCTAGCGGAAATACTTTGATAAACACCAGCTCTGCGGCTCACAGATGCAACGCTGATGTGCGTATTCTCGCACCCGCATCCCAAATTCTTGGGCTGCTTTGTTAGCTTGAAAGTGTTCCTCTTTCTTTACTCCTCTACAGTACGATTTATTCATTTTCCTTATTTTGTTTTTCAGCTTCACGTGCGTTTTTCTGACATCTATTTTTCACTCTGTTGTGTTTGCATTTATATGTGAACGTTCCTGTGGGAGCAGAAGAAGCTTCATGTGCTCTCTTTGGGCAGTTCGGCTGATCTGAGACCAGGGGAGTTTGTGGTTGCCATCGGCAGCCCCTTCGCCCTGCAGAACACGGTGACAACGGGCATCGTCAGCACGGCTCAGAGAGACGGCAAAGAGCTGGGCATCAAGGACTCGGACATGGACTACATCCAGACTGACGCCATCATCAATGTGAGAACATTTATAGGCTTATACACCTCTAATTGGAAGAAACATGTTGGTCAAATTTTCAGATTTCCTTAAACATAACTGCCAGGGACAGCAGCCATTTTGGGCTTAAATGTATGACAAAGAAAAAATGATTAAGGTCATGCTTTTTATGTTTGCATTTTTTTTTTTGTTCTATTTTGCGTCCACATGCAACAAGTATGGCAACTCTGGAGGACCTCTTGTAAATTTGGTAAGTTCTATTTTTGTGTTCTCTATTTTAGTAAAAATCTTATGAAAGTCTTTCTTTTTTTTTTTTTTGCCATAGCAAATACATATTTCTTCTAAATATATTTGAAATATGACCTGACTGCTATCAGGACCCTTTGCTATTGAGGAAATGATTGCTTGTCGAAGGCATGGACTGTGCTAAAGTTTGAAAGGTTTACACAATTGCTGATGTTTACCCATGAAGTATGTAATACTCCAGCCTACCAGAAACTGTCTGCAACATAAACAACCATCCTCCACTTCAAAGACAGAAGTGCTGGTCCAAATAAGATAGCTGTTAATGTTAGTTCAATACTTGGAGGCGTGGCCAACATGGACTGAACAGTTTGATCACTTCCTCCGCTGCCATTCCTAAAACAACTGGCAGACTACTATTCTAAAACACTGCAGAAAATCAATGTCATCATTCACAACTTCTCCTTATGTTTGCTGATTCGTCTGGACGAAATTCTTCTGAACAAATCCAAGTCAATAGGGGAAAGCCCAGATGAAGCACTGCAGAGAGTTAAGAATCGAGCAGAATTGGTGGGACGGCAATTGCCGGGCTAGGTTGGTTTTTAACGCAAAACTCCCTCCTCTCCTGAGTTTTGAACATTTCTTATGCCTGTTTAATTTATGGGTCAAAGTTAAGTGGATTAGCAAACTAAATCTAGTATTGGACAGTAAGTCCAACATCACTGGATCACATCACGGAATTTCAAGACAATGTATATCTCAAAGAGATGGGGGTTGATTCAGCAACATGTGCACAGTACTCTAGATGGATTGTCTTGCAGGACGGTGAGGTCATAGGCGTTAATACTCTGAAAGTGACTGCAGGAATCTCCTTCGCCATCCCCTCAGACAGGATCAGTCGCTTCCTCACAGAGTCGCAGACCAAATATAGCAAAGGTGAGAGTCTTAGGTTGATGGATTTCTTTATCAGACAAAAATTGTTCTTGTAAAGTATCCACTACTTGCTGATTAAAGTAGTTAATCTCACACGAGCTGTTGCTTATGTGACAGAGAAGACCCGACTGCAGAGAAGACGCACGGAGGAGCCTCAATCTGACACAGGTGAAAACTGCTAATGATGAAAACATGATATAAAATCTTTATTTTAAAATAATATTAATAAATGTAGCACTTTTCTGTTTGTTTCAGAAACAAAGAAATACTTTTTAGGCATCAGGATGATAACGATCACAAAAGTGTGAGTTAAGGACAAAAACACATGATAGGTTGTGTAAGAATAGACTTGTTTTGTTTCGTGCTGATGGGCTTTGTGTGTGCCTCAGTTTAATGGCAGAGCTGAAACTTCAAGATCCGGACTTCCCTGAAGTCAGCAGTGGTATCTTAGTGCAGCAGGTCATCCCTAAAAGTCCTGCTGAGAGGTATGAACACACACCCTCTAACGGATTCACAGTATACACAGTTCCTTAAAGCTCGTTATGTTACTTGCTATAGAATATTTAGACCTTTGAGATTAAACTATCAGGATATTTTGAAACAAAGAACTGTAAAACTATTAGGTTAAGGATTGCTATCTTTTACATAGCAAATCTAGGGAAATTCACCCTTTGAACTTTTTCACCTCAAAAAAAAGGTGAAACTTTAATAGACTTGGGATAATGCGTATCATCACCGTTATAGCATAATGGCCTGAGTTATTTTTCTCCAAAACAGATTTTGGCAAAAGAATCACCATCCCTTTATGTCCAAAAATGTTTTATGCAAGAGAAAAACAAAACAAAAAGACAATTTTGGCAAAAAAAAAAAAATCCTTTGGTCATTATTTTAGGACGGTGAGGATGTGTATAACATAATATATATCACTTGAAGTAAAGTGATACACAGTTGTACATGTTCTTTCACAAACAAAATTAGGAAAAGCGTAACAACGTGTGTGTTCAGCCACTTTTATTCTAATGCTCATAAATACTTTTGGAAATTAATTACTTGAATGATTGTTTTGTAATATTTATAATAATCCAGCTGGTCTGCGAAGTTTAACTTTAAGTGTTTATACTTTTGTAAGGTGACATAAGTGACACGCGTCTTGGTAGGAAGATTAATAACAAGGGTTATGTCCTTTGGTCTTGAACAGTGGAGGCATTCGGGCAGGTGACGTTATAGTGAAGCTGGACGGACACCCGGTGCACACCGCCGAAGACGTCCACCAAGCTCTGCAGAGCGATCTGCCGCTCTTGCTTGAGATTCGCAGAGGAAACAACGATTTACTGTTCAACGTCCGCCCTCAGCTGCTGGGGCATTGAAAAACGGGACGGGACTTTAATTTTTCAGTTAGAGCAGTTCGGTGAGAAGAGTGAAGATTTCAGGAAATACAGCAAGCAAGCAACTTTTCCAGATGCATTGATGTATATTGTGTTTGACTTTTACTTTCAAAATGTTTGTTTTGATTTATATGCAGTGTTGTGTAAAAGTATTCATACTCCTTGGACTTTCTCATATTTTGTCACGTTACAGCAACAAATTTTAATTCGTTGTTCAGTCTCACATCTTTTGCAACAATAATCTAAATTTTATACCAACATCACCTTTAAATAGATATTTGCTCACCAGGTTTCCTGTCCCTACTCGAGAATAGTCGTCCCAAAGCATAATCTTGCCACCATCTTGCTTCAGCATGGCAACGTCGCACTCAATATGACTTTACATTTTTTCTGCGCACAGTATTTTTTTTCTTAACCAAAAAGTTTCAGTCTCATCTGACTAGGCTTGCAACAAACTGCAATCAGGACTTTTATGGCTTTCTTAGAACCATGTTTTTTTTTTTTTCTTACTATAAAGGCTAAATTTATTTGATAAGGCTCTCGCCCCACGTTGCTTGATAACACCATTTTGAGCTTTATCCCTAAAATTATACAGAGCTGTATTCTGTTTACAAGTCAGTGATATATGGGGGCAACTGGTTGAACTGGATTGTACTTAGGGGTATTAGCATTAGCAGAAAAATGAAAAACTGAAGGCTATGTTTATTTTTTTTTTTTCACTTCGCAATTGAAAAACCAGCATTATGTTGATCTTTCACTAAAATAAATTGCACTGAAGTTACATAATATGTGAAAATTTAGGAGATGTGAATACATTTTGACAAATACAGTATGGTTCAATACTCATGGTGCTGCTGCTGAGTGAAATGTGCCTCACTTCATAGTGAGGATGCTTCAGATTAAAAGCTTTTTAATCTGTGTCAGAGCAGCGGTCTGTGTTTATCTGTCTGGTGTGCTGGACACCAGCTTTAAACTCGGTTCCACTGTTTATGTCTTCTTGGCCCTCCTCCTTCCTCCCTGGTTTGGAAAGGCACTCTGTTAATTTAAACAAGTCTTAGCCACCATATTACAGAAACAGTTCTCGTACACATAAAAGGAAAAAGTCCTGGCAAAGTCATTTTTATTCTCTCATGTGGAGGAAATGATCTGGCAGAACATCTTCAGTCCTTCAACCCACAGAAGCTGAAAATTGTACCAGGGTTGTTCGGCTGAGAATATTAAAGAAATCAAACTTATTCATCTGGATATATCCAGTTAAATCTGGTTTAAAATACAACCAAAGAAGACGTGTTCACAGACGGTAGCAGTTTCTCTCCGCATTAAGCTGAATGGGATTGTGATTTTACTTAAAGTGCACTGGCACCTGTGCACTTGGTTGAAGGAAAGATAATCTTTCTGGCCCGTTTGAACAAAACTGGGTCACATTAGCGGTGGCTGTAGCTGTGCCAGCAAAAGGAGACAGAAAAAGAAAAGGTCGTCTGTTACTACTCTGTAGATGCAGTCCTTGGACACCATATTTGTGGGTGAGTTTGTGTCGAGGGGGAAGAGAGCAATCCTACACCCTTGGGTGAGGGAGTGGACGCAGCTCTTTATCCATATAAAGACAAACCGGCCCATTCAAGCCGTTTCCCTGAGCTCACATTATATATATAAAACACACTCACTCAACTGCAGCGAAGTACCAGTGTCCATGATAAAAGGAAAAAGAAAATACAGGTATGTGTTCTGTTTATACTGTGGATGAAGCCAGGCTTTGCCAAAAGATAAACATTTAACGCAGTGCCATCTACAGGCCACGTGCAAAACAAATATGGTTTTTCAAGCTGCTTGTTTTAAACTTGGCCACTAGATGGCGCGCTGGGAATAAAGATGGGCTCCTGACGTGTCATTTTTTTTTCTTCCATTTGGACGCCTGCTACAAAATGCTCATAATAAAAGGAAACAAGTAATCAGATGTTGGACAATATTTATTTACCCCTCACAGATAAAGTCATCTTCTAATTTTGGCAAGTTTATTCCAACGAAAAGCGGTATTAAAGTTGCTAGTTCACTCTAACAAACCTCCGAGGCCTGATACTCGGATTAAATTACAGCCACCCCGGTGGATGCCATGTCATGAATATGTGACTTCTGGCTGCACTTTTAATGGTGGTTTTGCTTATTTTCATGAAGATTTTAAAAACCATTCATTCATTTCTTTCTACTTATTAATTCACATGACAACTCTTAGTCATGGACCCCATGAATCTGGGTTTATGGAGGAGTGGCGACACAAGAGCAAGCATTTATAATGTTTACTCGTTCAGTATTAGTTTAATTAACAGGGCCTCACAGAGTTGTGGAGCTGTAGGGTTGCAATCAAAAAAATCAAACAAAGTCCGGATGTTATAGAGCTCTTATTCGTTTTATCTTTTTTTTCCAAAAACATTTCCATCCAGTTACATCATGACAGGTTCACACACAAGAGGGAGAGACCCTCTGATCTAACACACCTGCCTTTTAAAGCATTGGCTCTTCCTTGACTAATTAAGGGGTGGAGTCAACACTTACAAGTGAAAACAACATTTGTACTACACTATATTCCTAGAAAGAAATTTACATTTCAACTAACAATCTTCAAACTAAAACAAAAACAATCTGGGCCCCAAATTAAATCCAAAAACATCTCCCCTCTCTCTCAAACAATAGATTCTGAGGTTGATTGAAAACACCAGGTCCTTGTCAGCACTGCTCATGGGCACGCTTCCATTGCAACACCTGACCAGGTGACCTCAAAGAGAAGAAAAATGATTAAAACAACACCAAACAAAGCAAGTTGCTTCCTCCAAACAAAATACACTTAATAAATAAATTGGAATATAGCAGCACGAACACATCACCTTTTAGGGAGGGGTTAATCCCTCACAGGAGCACAAATCAGAGAGGAAAGAATCATTTAGACGCGTATCACAACGGATGTCACTGTACAGTTTACCAATATTATCGCCACTGCAAGTTGTCTTAATACAATGAAGCCCTAAAAGTGACCACAAAAAGTGACCAATAATATTTTGTCAAATTAATTTTTGTTATTATGATTTTCAAAATTAAGCCGTGCACGCAATCCCATGGGTGTTTAGTCAGATTATACCTTAAAATGACCTTAACCTTTCTTTTTTTTTACCCCATTCTTCTCTAAATTGTAATACATGAAATAGAAAACACAAAAAATAACTCCAGAGGTTATGCTGGACAGCATTTAAGTCTTGAGTGCAACGTCCAAATTTCAAGATGTGGTCAGCTGACATCTGAAGGCAGCTCTTCCTGTGCATATTTCTTACTTACATGGTGCCAAATAGTTTTTTTTTAAGCTAAATTGTGTCAGTGAAACTAACATCACGGAGAATGTTTATGATTCCAATCATTTTATTATTTTTTCTCCTTGCCATAGTAATCGGAGCCGAGCAAAGTTCATGCAGCACCACCATCCGTCACGACCCTTGACCTAGCAAGATGACGCCAGCTGTGCAAGCCAACTAGTGATCCAGGAAACTGAATTGATCTTCAAGGATCAGACAACATTTACAATCCACCTAAGGGCATCTCCACCGACAATCCGAGATGGATTCGTCTGTTTGGTTGCACAGTTACTTAACAGGTGAAATGCCACAGCTGTTTAATGAAAAAGAAACAACTAACTTGAACTATAAATGAGGTGGAGGACACAGAGAGTGGCCCGCAGAGGGACGTCTTGCTGCAGTGTCTTATTTCTCTGAAAGACCGAGAAGTTCCAGACTGAATCTCAATAAAAACAAATTCGTGCTTTCAGTGGAATTCATGGAATTTCAGACCTCGTTAAATCTCAAAGAAGAAAAAAGAAAAAAAAAAAAAACTATGCAGCCCGAGGAAAGCATATATTATTGCAAGATTCCCTGAAGTAGCTGTCACTGACAGTCTTGTGTTGCAAGTCCAGCTCTGCCCCTCAATGTGAGATAGAATCAAATATGAAAACAAAGACAGAAGGCAGAGATTTCAGCAAAAACAGTGATCACGAGGAGAAATGACTGTGCCAAGCTTTGTCCAGAAGTCAAGGCTGTGAGAAGTGTGATGATGATATTTTGCAGCAGGATAATGCAGGCTGAGGTGGACAGCAATTTAAAAACTTTTGGCCGGTTTGCGTTTCCTCTCCTCCTGCTATTGCACACAGTAGCTCTGATCAGCAAAGCAGTGAGTCATTTGGGGGGAACTATTATTCCAGACAGATGGAAGTAGTTAAGGCCTGTGCTATTGTAACGCCTTCACTAAATCAAATTCTTTTTTTTTAGTCCAAGCTGTCTGAGGCGCTGCAGCAGCAACATATGTCCGATGAGTTCGATGAGTCGAACTGGCAGCGACTTACTGCCAGTTCGCTTCCTGATTAACTCTTGAAATATTTTCTCAGGCAGCAAACTTCCTTTACTCTCTTTAATTTTGTTCAGTTCAACTCATTTTTGTTTAGAAGGCACAGATATTACTTTTATGAGCTCGTATGACTACACAAAGTGGCATTCTGTCCTTTCACCATCAACAGAACTGGGAAAAACGAGGTAATAAACTGTCAGCCCTCTTAAGCAGTTTGGTTTTTGTCTTGGATTTAAAGGCAGGGAGGGAATTAAGGTTTGTTACCCAGCCAGAGATCAGGAGTCAGGACACGTAAAGTGCTGCCTCCTATCTGACAAATGTTGGAATGAAAAGCAGAGCTGCAGTGTTATTGTGGCACTACGCAGAATAATGAGCTGTTTTCAGATGGAGCTGCCGAGAACTCTGTCCTAATCAGAACAATGGATTCTTAGACTAACACCTGGCTGGTTTACCTGTCGGCATCCCGGCTTCTGGTTGAACTGGAACTGTTTTTAGAGCAGCGCTAGCCCAGCGTTGTTCGGGCCACAACCTGGTTCTGATTGGAGGCCTTTCAGCTGCCATTGCTATCCACAGCCCAGCAGACACCTCCATGTTTGAATCTTTCTGGAATATGCTTTTTATCACACCTAATAACATTGTTTATAATTACACGATTTCTTAAATTGATTGAATGTACAGTGTCTACATTTTCAGAGCGGGTAGATCACTTGTTGCAGAGAGAGTTAAACCCATACAATCACATAATCACAACCTACATGTTTGATGGAGAACATTTAAAAAGAGAAAATCCTGCTAGATTTGGCTAGAATTGCAGTGGCTGTGGCCACATTGAGATGCTCATTTTCATGTTTGTGGTTCAAGGAGGATGGAGACAAAGGAGATGCTAAGGAGGTTGATTAAAAATAAATTTAAAAAATAGACAGAGAGTCAGACAACAACACAAAGCTGAGGTCATTTGGAGTGTCTCACATTCCATCAGTAATGAACCCCGCCAAGAATCCTGCTCGCCAAATCTTGACATGATCCAACAAAACTCTTACTTTAGGAGAACTACTTTTGGGTTTGAATTGGGAGTTTTCTACATGCTGACAGACGGTAAACAATCTAATAAATGTCAGAATACAGCCACAGTCTGTCCAGCAGAGACTAAAACCAGAAAACATTTGTTTCTTCCGGAAGGCAGCCAGCTCACTCCCTCAGTTTTTGTCTTTTTCTGTCCCGGCCTGCCACAATTCCCCTCATGTCCTCCCTTTTCTTACACAACCGTTGCGTCTGTGGATCTTGAATAATGCAGCTACATTTTTCACATCTTGTGACCTCTGCGTGGGTGGAGTTTGTGCTCACACTGGCGATACGACAGCCAGTGCATGTGCTGTTGAATTACGTGTGGGTGTGTTGTTATGGGTGTTTCTCAGCCTTAGTGCTTGAAGGAACAGGCTAATTGGCTTTGGCCTTGCAGCCATAAAGTTGACTGAATCTTTTAATGAGGATAACAGCCGCTGTGACCAAACTAGAGGTCCAGATCTTTTGCGGACTGAGGGCATATACACACCTTGTGTGTGATACATTAGGTCTTGAACAAATGTGTCTGAAACCAGTTGGTAGCAAATGCTGCATAAAAATACACACAACAGTATCTTTCTACCTTTGTTGACATCAAATCAGACCAAACCGGTCAATTTTGATAAAACATGAATCATTTCCGTTTGCTAGCTGCTTCAACAAAGAGGGGCAAACGTCTTGTAAGATATCGAGTCATTTTTCTGCTGATGTAGAGGTTTACATTGTATTTCTTAGAATTGCCTTTAAACTGAATAACTTAGGTAAATAATTTTCCACAAGCTTCTTACAGTTTATCTGTGAAATTATCTGAAATTCCTACTGGAAACTACATTTACACAAAATGCCCTTTCCTCGTGATGCCATTAACTTTGTGAAGTGCACCGGTGAATCATCTGAAGTGCTGGATGAATACATTCTAACTCTGATTTTATTAATTAGTAAAAGTTCCTCATTTTATGCATCATAAGAGCAACACTCGATCACCCTGACAGATTTTGCCGCTGTGAGTCTCTGAAGTCGATGGCGATGACACAGTGGGGCATTTAGCTTTATTAGGAGCTGGCAGGACATAAACCAGCCTAATTAATTGTTTTTAAGTAATAGAGCAGGGTAGTGTCAGTTTAGCATTTTTCTGCAAATGATCAAAGAGCTAGAGAGAGTGCTATCTGGTGTCTTTGACAGAACTAATGGGAACATCTGGAAGACACATTTGAAATTAAAAAAGAAGCTCAGCCAAAAAACAAACACTGGAACTGTAATCTTCAATAATTGAGAAGAAGGGAACCACATGTTCTCTATCGGTCTGGGTGTCAAAGCAAAACAAGAGCAAGTAAACAACGTTAACACTGAGGTCTTCTTTGGGCGTCTAGGACAGCAGCAGCCCCAAAAAGGGTGTGATTTGAATGCTGGATTCCTCAGCTATGGCATAAAGAATAAAACAATAAATAAAAAACAAAAAATACGGCGGCCCAGAGGCGTCACATTGACAGGATTTATTTCGCAAAGCTCTGACGTCTTAACTGACATGTATCCTGTCTTATGCTGAAATGGAGGAGCGTTTTAATCTCAGAGAAACTTCTTTTATTACAAAAGAAGTTCCTCTTCTGTTTTAATAAGAGAAGAGTTAAGAAAGTTAACAAATGACTTTTTTAACTTTCTCAAAGAGCAGCAACACGTGATCACTCAGCTGGGTTCACCACGAAAAAGGGGGAGTCATCCCTCTCTCTCTCGATTACTTTTATTTAGTTATTTATTTAGTTAGTTATTTATTTATTTTTTGTCAGGGTGCTTTATTTTAAATGTTAGACTTGGATCACCACATAGTACAGTCCAAAAGAAATGAAACATTTTTGCATTTCAAACAATGTACCGAGGAGTATATTTTCCATATTTCCTCAATTTAAATAATAATTGGTTTCAACAAACAGGAAGCCAAATGGCTAAGAAGGGACTCAGAGTTGACTAAAGCATAGAAACCCAGGGCGGGACAGCTTCAGTGCATGGATGAAAGTGTCAACACATGAACAAGTAAGCTTTTGTTTCAGTCTAGAGGAATTTTTTCCGTGGCTTCAAGGACAAAGAACTCCAACACCGTAAAAACGAAACAAAACAAAACAAAAAAACAACAACACTTGATGTTTTATTCCACTTTGAAAAATATTTACACATCTCCTCTGGTGACCATCAGTGGAGTATGTTTATGCAAAGGCATGACATCAACACCACATCTCCTCCTCTCAGCTATTTGAGAAAAAAAAAACTGCTTCTGATGATGCAGACAGAACAGGGTCAGCCTTCCTCCTCGTGTCACAAGTAGTCGCAGTCGGGATGAAGTCGGAATCTATCACCAGGGAACTTTCATCAGATGAGAAAACTGCTTATTTATCCACTGAAACTGCGGTACACTTCAAAGAGAAAGTAAAAAAATATATATAGAGAACCCAGAACAGCAACACGTGATCACTCGGCGGGGTTCATGAAAAAGGGGGAGTCGTCCCTCTCTCTGTCATTTCACTCCCTTTTCTGTCTCTGAAACAACAAGTTGGGTTTCCTTCATAAACGTGCTCAGTTGTCAGCAGACGTACTGGGCAGAGCAGCATGACAAAAAGAGGGGGGAGGAAAGAGGTATTAAATTAAAGAGAAACACGCTGAACGCAATCCTCTGGAAACTGGTGAAGATTAAATGACTGGAGACAGAAAGAACTGAAAACATGAGGGGAGCTGGGAAGATTAAATGCAGCGCAGCAGGCTATCACTGCACTCCCCCTCCTTCCTTTCATACATATATACATATATACACACTCATATTGTATGTCTGTCTATCTTTGCAAGAAGTTTGCATTGACTCCCATTCATTTCTAATCAATTTCTATTGTCTAATGCCAATCCTTGCTCTAAACTGGACCTAAAGTCAATCCACAGCGTCATCCTAACCTCAAAACAGCATTTCTTCTGATGGGGCCCAGATTTGGACCCCTAGAGCAGCAGAGGGTGTTGATGTTGCAGGCTTGTTTCTTTTCCAGTTGCTCTGGGGACTCCGCTGGAGTTCAAGACATGAACCTTTTAAAATACCAGAAATTTTCAGCAAAAAAAAAAACATTTATGTCAATAATTCCAGAGGAATCTGGTAATTCAGCTGTGAAGGAAGTACTTACAATGATACTTCACTCGAGAAAATATGAAAATATTTTCAAGCTATGTACAAAAAAAAGTCCTTACATGTGAAGATCTGAAAAAAAACTACAAACAGATGAACTGTTCAAATCACTTATTTAAAACAATCCTGTGCCATGAAAACAAAACAAAACAAAAAAACAGTAGTAAAGGAGTTCCTCGGTGCTCATTTTCATACTGCTGTGAGTCAAAGTGTGTGAATGTGTCAGGTTCTGTGTTTTTTCTGTTTTTATTCCGAGTTTCTGTGTCCTGAGTCTCCTCGTTGTCCTGTCTTCCCCTTGATTGCTCCCAGGTGTGTCTCGTTCCCTTGATTACCCTCAGTGTATTTAGTCCCTCCTGTGTCCTTTGTTCCTCGTCGGGTCCTTGTCGTTGTCGTATTGTTGTCAATTGTCAGTCGCTGTTTGCCGCACATAGTTGCTTGTTTTTGTTTCCGCCTGTTAGACCAGTGCTACCGGTGTTGAGCCCTGGCTTCCGCTCAGCCGTGCTGCCTGGCCGCGGACTCCGTTTGTTTACTGTGTTTCTGTGGACTTTATTTTATATTAAATTACCACCATTCACTTACCTGGGTCTCCAGCGTGCTGCCTCACCACCTCAAACACCACCAGTTCATGACAGAATGTAGCTTTGTGTTCATGCTGAATAAGCCATTTTCACCAATAGGGCAGAACATTATGACCACTGACAGGCTAATAGAAAAAGTGTTATGTAGCAGGGTATTGTTTGTCATAGGGATGTTTGTAACATCCATCCATACGCATGTATACATGCATACATACACTTCCGCCTTCCGCGCATGCCCCGTGATATCCACGTCCATCTGCTTAACTTTAGCTTCTGCGTGAATATTGTTGAAATTCACGAGCCAACCACCGGCCACACGTGTCTCGCGCACGGTACTTCTGGAGATGAAGGAGGCGCCGGGCGGCCGGCTTGCCAGTGCGCATGAGCGGGAATAAGCGCAGAAAGCTCTGCTTGGAATCTCATCTGCAGTAGTTTTTCACTCCGGGTTAAACAGAAATTGTTACTGTTGGGATTAAGGAGACTTTTGTCAGCAGTTCTGTGACTAAAAGCACAGCTGGCGCACATTGCATTTTTAATGTTTGGACATTTCAGCACTGGACAGCGGTCCGCGCGCGTGAGCAGGACGTTCGGCATGTGGCAGGAGCTGAGCGCGTGGAGGACCATCCACAGCCCCCCCTCACACACCCACTGAGACAGCTAACACGGAGCTGCAGGGCTCCGTCGTGGTTTCGGCAGTCGTCGCGCTCCTGACGAACTTTTCGGTGCTGCTATGCTTCACGCAGAGTTACGATCCCACGTTCCGGGGATCTTCACCCTCAATCTCTCCATCTCCAACGTCGTCCTCGCTCTCGTCAACATGCCGGCCACTTTTCTCGGCGTGGCCAGCAGCGCGAAGCCCCTCGGGGACCCGCTGTGTCGCGCCGTGAGTTTCACCGAGACCTTCGTCAACGCCATGCTGAGCATGGCCGCGCTCAGCGTGGACACGTGGGTGGCGGTGGTGTTTCCTCTCAGGTACTCCAGCAAGATGCGCCACCGGGACGCGCTTGTGATCGCGTCCTGCTCCTGGCTCCACTCCCTCGCTTTTTCCCTGATCCAGCTGTCGATGGGCTGGGGGGCGTACAGCCGCACGTACGCCTCGTGCACGCTGCACCTGGACGCTGAGACGGCGTCGCGTCGGAGCGCCTATGTCGCCTTCACGGCGCTGTTCCACTGCAGCAGCTTCGCGCTCTGCCTCTTCGTCCTCTGCTTCGCCTACCTGAAGGTTCTGAGAGAGGCCCGGTCGCAAGAGGATAGATGTCGTCACAGTGCAAGCTCTGCTCCTGCTGGTGGATATTCACCCCAGGTGGAGAATGGTGGAGAGGGAGGGGGGTGGTGCACCCCCCCCCCTCACCCCCCCCCCCCCCCCCCCACCACACACACACAAAATATGCACTTGCTTTTATCTAAGTAACTTTTGTGCCTACTGATGTCAGTCATGTAATAATTCTGTCTGTCTGTCTGTCAGTGTAAAGGAGAGGTGTCTGGCCCAACAAAGGATGAGAAGGCGGCGAGCTGCCAAGAAAATCTGCACCTTCATCGGTTCCTTCATGATCTGCTTTTCGCCGTATGTCATAACGAGGTAATAGCCCACTGTGGAGCTGATGTGTGTCTTCAGCAAGTGTTTCTGTTCTGTTACTGTGGTACAACAGAAGCGTCACGCCGGGACCCAGGACAGCCTCCGAGCTCAACATCCCAATACCAATACTGCTTTATAGATCTTGAAAATAAAATTGTTTGTGTCAGGTCAGATTGGATTTTGTGGCCGGTGCTGTTGAGAATGGGCTTTGCCTTGTAAATATTATATGTGCTTAAAATTTTAATGACTTAATTAGTTACTTCTGCAGAGTCACCAAGGGCTATGAATGACAAGAAATAGATTATGGAAATCACAGGACTTAAAAGCCCCATATACAAACAGGTGCATTAAATCTACTTATACAGAGGATAAAAATAAGAATATGTAAAGTTGAACAAGTGACATTTACTCCTAAGCATATGCTGGACTAGCTGCTTTGTTTCACTGGCAGCAACCTATAAAGGTGTGACCATAGCATCCTCAGTCCTCAGCTCAAGTAACTTTTGATCTGCAACGCCTTCCTGCAAAGGCTTTATGATATTGTAAAAGAACACAAGTTCACTAATGGAAAATCTGCTTTGTTTGGTGAAATGATTTAGAATCCCCAAAGAGTGGGGGAGATAACAAATATTTTTCCACCCCAAGGGATAGTAAAGGTTTTACTCTGTTCTGCTATAATTTATAGGTGAAACATGCATTTTAAACATCTATCACTAACTTCTGGTCGTTTTCTTTCTGAAATTAACCAAAAATCTTCGTTAACAAATCAAAACAGTTTTCTCTAAGCCCTGGCTAGCATCTTGAAAAAATTACGATCTTTAATATTTTATGAAAACTCCCTGAATCCTCCACTTTACCGGCAGGAAAATAAGGACTGAGAGGGTTTCTGCCAGCTTGTTTTGACTACAAGTAATATAGTATATAGCATAGCCAGCATCAGTCTCTTACTCCTCCTTCTCTCTTCCTGCAGGCTTGTAGAATTGTTGCCCTCGGTGGATGTGCCCCGTCATTGAGGCATTGCTACCAAATGCCTGGTCTACGCCAAGGCATCCAGCGATTCATTCGTTCACTGTCTTCTGCGACACCAGTACAGGAAGGTCCTGGTGAGCGTCATCTGCCGCATGGTGAGGAAGGACCACCACTTCCTGTCGGCGCACAGCACCAGCAGTATGTGGGACACCACGGATGTAAACTTTTCTGAGAGGATAACTTGAAATCACCTGGTTTGAGTTAGTTGGTTCTTCTGTGCCTTAGGGCAGATGTTATGTTTGGAGAGGAGCCGGAAGAGGTCAAGGCCTAGTCCAGGGAGGTCACTTGAACAAAGACGAAGTAAACCTTGGAGTGTGCCAGACCCCACCGCTGTCTGCGTGGCTGCAACGTCAATGGGCGGAAAAACTAAAGCGTCCTGCTTATCGCAATCTTGAAGTGTCTCTTGAGTGATGTGACAGTGAATTTTGTAAGAGACTGTTGGAAAAATGTCACAGCTGATATTATTTCTTCTTTTAATTGTTATAGTTGTGCACAAAATGAAAGTAAATGTGTGAAGCTATTAAATCCCAGCAAGAAGGCGATTTAAGCGCCCCACCCCCACAGCCAGAGTCACGCTGAGTCAGGCATGAGCTCATCAAACAGGCATTATGTGACTCATTATGCTCCAGTTGTCACCGCTTGTGAAAGTGAACCCAATGCAGAGTTTTAATAAAAAAGCCAGAAAATGTGATATCAAATTTTGAGGTCAACAGCAGTAGCTGTTTGTTTTTTTTTTTTTAAATCTCAAGCCATTCTTGAATCCGTTTTGTTTTGTAATAAGCCAGGTCACGTTGTTGAACGAGCCCACGGCCAAAAGAGAATTCTGTTTCTGCAAAAAGAAGCGCATGTTTTTGTTTTTTTTTACATTTATTTATTTATTTATTTATGTTTTAATGCTCGGTAAGTCAGAATAATATCCACATAACTGGGGAGACTTGAGTCTTGTACTCACGATAATGGCCAAATGTCACCCAGTCTGGGGTGGCCCAACTCTGCAGGCGATCATCCACTGGATGTTGAAGAAGATGTGATTCATTGGACCGGGCTATCTCCTTCCACTGCCCATGCTGCCGGTTTTAGTTGAGGTCAGGGGATCAGCTTTTCCATCCTGACCGGTCTGCAACTTCGTAGCTCAATGATCGAACAAACACCCTTCTGTCTGTTTATCTCTTCAACACTTTGAGCGACAACATTGGCGATGCGCAGGACTACAGGCGGCAGTTTTAACTACCCATGATGCTCTCGCAGCTTCACCACTTTTGATACTGACCACCGTTCACCTGGAACATCCAAAACGAGATGCGGTTTTGAAGGTGCTCTGACAAAGTCACCGAGTCGTCACAGTTTGATGCTTATGCAAATCTTTACACTTGAGCCTAATCTGCACTTTATAGGAAGAGGTATGGTGAAGCCCAAAATGACTCATTACACTGTCAGATTTAATTGAGTCAAATTTTAGGTTTACCAGCATTGATCTAAAGATCAAAAGGTGACAATGACCCTTCGGAGTGGCCCAAACAGAATCTGGACTTGTGTCTGATAGAAAATATGTGGAGAGCCCTAAAGCTGAGTAGACTTTCTAACTGTAGGCATGTTTATTTTTTTAAAGAAAAAAAAAAGAAAATCCAGAGCGCTAAAGTTCTCCTCTAAGCGTTACATTGAGCTTATTGGAAGCCTCTAGGTAAGCAACAGCTACACATAATGGTGCATTGTTTTGAGGACATCAAAGACTGGAAAGAAAGCGTAGAGGAAAGATGGAGGAAGGCGGGGATAGGGTAAAGGCTCGTTGGATGCCTCACAAGCTTTTATCCACGCGTGTACGAAATAAGCATTCATCTTAACTTTCGTGACCACACAAGCCACGTTCTTCTACTCTGTCGTTCTCTAGCACACGCACACACACGCAGACACACGCGTGCGCGCTCGTACACATCCACCTTCTCTCCCCCCCTACACACCCACACACCCACACCCACACACACAGACGGAGTGAAATATGATCGGCGCAGCAAAGAGCCGCAGTCCCATGCTCGGGTCAGGGATGCGCTCCGCGCAGCAGACAAAGGACGGAGCTCTGTGCTGTGGGTGGTAATTATCAGGGAGCTCAGAAGAGGAAGGAGAAGGAAAGGCAGTTGCTTCAACCAAACTTACTGCCACATCACACGAGCTGCCTCCCCTGACGCGCAGCATGCATCTGGAAGCTTTGGCGCTGCTGTGGTCCTTGGCGTGGAGTTGCCTTTGCGCCCCGCAGCAGCCATGCCATCCAAGAGACGAATTTTTAGGTAAGGGGAAAAACAATGGCCGCGCTCAAGCTTAGTCTCATCGCAGTCCAGAGGCCCGGAACGCAAAGTTCTCCAGGGGCCACAACATAGGAGACACGGGATCGCTTTTTTATTCCGGACAGGATGATTTTGACACTTCTACACTGTTACCAGCATTTAAACCTGTGTTTAGAAATAATTTACTGTGTGCTAAAAAAAAAAAAGTTGAGTTGAACTAACTGATTGCGTTGCTCGTTGTTTTCTCTCATTGTTTTGCAATGTTTCTCAGCCTTATTTCGGGACGTATAAAGTTGGAACCTCTCGCGGGTTTCTATTGTTTTTACCCACGACTCTCTTAAGCGTTAACTCGCAGTAAACTCTTCCAAGTTTAGGTCATCGTGCTTTTGAAGATGTCGCCCCCTGGCGTTGAGTTTGGGATTCATAGAGTTGTGTGTGTGTGTGTGTGTGTGTGTGTGTGTCATTCTCGGTTTTCCTCACAGGAAGATGCAGCAGCCGCAGCGCACACGATGAAACACGTACGTGTTTGTTCAGCTTTTCTTTCTGCACGAAGTTTTGTTCATAAAACATATATATTAGCGCAAAGTAAAATCAATCTTCCCTGTGGAGGATCTTTGAAATGTGCTGTGTTCAAGCTGTAGTTGTCCTTTGTTGAAAAATAATCTGTTTCAAATACAAAACGCTGCTTCAAGGTAATCACTGTTTTGAAAGTCTAAAAAAAATAATAATAATAAAATAAATCTGAAGAAAAGAGCCCTTGAGTTCCTTGTTACTGTTTTGAGGAACAAAATATTTGGGAGATCAACCAAGTACTGCACTAAAATTTAGAATTATTATTATTAGTTATTTAATAAACACAATTGAATTTTATTTTTTTTGCTCCATCAGATCTGTTTTTTTAATAAACTTCCTGTGTTCCAGCAGCTACCTGCACAGAGCTGAACCTGGGCTACTGCAACGATCTGGAGTACTCAGCGTGAGTCATACCGCTTAGAAAGCCAAGCAAATGACAACTGGACAAAGACATTACCCCCTATTTGTTTTTTTTTATTGTTTTGTTTTTTTTTAAGCCACTGACTCTTGTAGTTATGAACCACATTAAAGTTTAAATTCACTCCAGCTCTTCTCAGCGATTGTGCAGAATGAACACTTCTATACATGTCGGTACAGACATGGCGAAGAATTACTTTAGAATTTTCTGCCTCTATGTTTAATACATTAAGCAGCAGGTGGATGCTGCCAACAAAATGAACTCAAGCACTTTAAGACTAAATAGGCAACAGTGGCCTTTTCTGTAAATTGATTTATTTGTCAATTAGGGTTTATAAATGTCTTTTTCAAACTGATTGAAGTCAATTATTATTTACCTCTGGAATAAATATTCAGAAGATGGAATGAATTGGAAATCTTCCGAGGAGTAGAAGTCCACCCCAAGGTTAGACTTTACAATGCTCAGAGAAACTGCAAAAAAAAAAAAAAACAAGAGCCACGTCTAAAAGGCGAAAGTTTCCCAGCACAGTTATAACAATACAAAATATGTATTGTTTTAAATATGTCTTGCAACCAACTAAGGTTTCCTAAGTCGTATCTAAATAAACTACTTCCAGTGTCTTTTGCACATAATAACAAAGTAGAGATGTTTGGCTATAACTTGCGGCACTATGTTACCATGTAAGGCAAAAAACTAAACAGCATCTCATCAAAAACAGTTCATCTGTAAAGATACAAAAGTTTAGCTCAGAGTTTATTTAAATACGACAATGATCTCACCATCACATCAACAAGAAGAAAATAATCATTTTGAAGGAGGGTTGCAATGACATAGTCGAATTTCAGATCTTATCCTGACTGAAATGCTCTGCTGAGTCTCAAGAGAACTGTGCAGAGACAAATGTCTGGGAAACTCATAGAACTGAAACAGTTGGCCAAGATTTCTCTAACAATAACATGAGAAATTGATGGAATCTTAAAGATTTAGAGACTTTATCAAGTTATTGCTTCTAACCATGGCTCCACAAACTGTCGTTGCGTATGGTGCATGTAATTATTTGCATAAGAGCATTCTTATCCCCCCATTTCTACAGAACCATATTCCCCAACATTCTTGGTCACCGGAGCCGTCTTGAAGCTGAGTCAGGAGCAGAGTATCTCCTCCTGAGTGTCATCCACGGTCTCCTCAATGGTGAGTGCTCCCCCGAGATCCGTCTCGTAGGGTGTTCGGTGCTGGCCTCGCCGTGTCGGGACAACAAGATGATCAAACCGTGCCGCAGCACATGCGAAGCATTGAGAAAAGACTGCATGCACGCCTTTGAGGCCATAGAGATGGCCTGGCCCTACTTCCTGGATTGCGATCGCTTCTTCGCCGCAAACGAGGAGGGCTGTTTTGACCCCCTGTCCGGGCTGAAAGGTAAAGTTCAGAGTCTTGTGCCACTTGGAATGTTTACGCTGAGGTAATGTTTGAAACCAACACAACCAGCCCTCTGTCATCTCCCACATATTCTCGTCATTCACCCCTCCAGCCAGACAGGAGGTGGCATTGTCCAGTATCTCTCCCGAAGAGCCGAGCACCATCATCCAGTTCATCTACGCCTCTAACGCCCAGATGTACAGCTTACTGAAGAGGACAGCAGCCAAGTGCTCCCACATCTCTCACGTCTACAGCATCGGACGAAGCACCGAAGGCAGAGATCTGTTGGTGATTGAATTCACTGACAACCCAGGACATCATGAGCTGCGTGAGTGAACAGCATCCACACCGTTCCGACTTTTACAGCAATTCTGCGAAAAAGATATGCTTCTGTTTCTGCTTTTTAGTCACATGCAACTGTTTCTGATCATCAGTCAAATCATCAACTAAATTTCTTTTTAGTATCAAAGATAACCAAAGTAAATATGGAATGCTGTTTTCAAATAATAACTGTATTTATTAGGGGGTAAAAAAGTCATTCAGGCCAGATGGGTTCTATGTAACTACTTCATTAAGCTACACGTTGTAGCAATAATTATTATAGAATATTTGCGATATTTGGCAATGAGTCTTCTACACGCTGTGAATTAATTTTGACCCACTCTTCGTTGCAGAATTGTTTTAATTCAGCAACAATTGATAGTTTTTGAGCCCAAATGACCTGTTAAATGTCATGCCAAAATTACTTCTTCATCTGGATTTAATATTCCACCATAATGAGGCCAATCCAAAACCTTTATTTTTTTGTGTGTTTTTGCTCAGTTAGAGTTAGATTTTCTAACAAGTTCTGAACCGTATTACTGCTTTTTAACCCAATCTTGACTGAGCTCAAGGTCACAAACAGATGGTTGGATATTTTCCATCAAGACTTTCTGGTTGAGAGCAGAGTTCAATGTCTCATCACTAGCAGCAAGTTGCTCAGGTCTGAAGAAGGGATGTATTTCAGAACATCAAACCGATTTAAATATTAGTCAAAGACAATGCAAGTCAATACAAAATGCAAGTTTTAAATGAAGGTGTTTACTACCAAGAGAGAGAAAAAAAAAACAACCCATATGGACAAGATTCAAGTGTGCTTTTATTGTGCTCATTTCCATTTTCATTTTCTGCAGTGGAGCCAGAGATTAAGTTGATTGGCAACATGCATGGAAATGAGGTGCTAGGACGTCAGCTGCTCATCTACTTAGCGCAGTACCTGTGCTCGGAGTACACCCTGGGAAACCAACGAATTCAGTCCATCATTAACAACACTCGCATTCACATTCTGGCCTCCATGAACCCTGACGGTTACGAGGTGGCCGCCTCAGAGGTAGAGGAAAGCAATGACCCGGAGCTCTCCAACCAGGAAGTAAATATTGTTAACAAAACGAAGGACAAACCACCATTATCCGCTCTCGATCCTTTTTGGCTGCTGTGCTGCGTTTCTTTTGCTCGTGCTTTGAACGCTGAAGAATGCAAACTTCTTTCAACTATTTTTTTTTCTGACAGTGTGATCATCCCATTAGTCTGGGAACGATCCCAGCCTCAAGTGATCAACCAGTGAGGTCAGGATAAGGACAAATGAAATTCACAGATGACTCTGTTTTCATTTTCAGAAATGTCTTCCAGCTGGCTCTGGAAATTGCATGTTTCCAATGTGGCCACCGACGCCTTTTGTGTTTTTCTGATGTTCTGCACATTCACTCTTATGTCAGACCTAATCATTTGTCTCTAATTTCTGCATGGACATCTTTGCATTAACTGGTCATGTGCATGCACATGACCATGCATTTATAAATTCAATCAAGATTTATCAGGTCAGATGGAAGCTACTATTTGGAAATAAGGTGTTCCGCCCAGTTTTGGCCAGAACTGAGCCTCACATTGCATGGTTAAAATATTAATTTGATTTATTCCTCCTGCTTGATGGGCTGTGATCAAATTTTTAATTCGTTAAGAGCAGGTGCTTAAATTTTGTCTTTTGACGAGCAATGCATGTGTGCTGGTAATTCCCAAAGAGTGTCTTAAATGGAAAAATTTTGCTTTCTAGTCAACATCTGAAATATAGAAGAGGAAACTGTTTCTATATTTTTGCATGTAAATGGCAACATGCAGGGCTGTCCGACATGACGCCTCATTGGTTTGTATTTATGTTTTCAAAGAGCCAGAGTTTTTATGATCTTTTAAAGAGGCCTTGCTCAATAGTCCTCCAGTGTTTTTACCTCAGCGCATAAAGTCCAGTTATTAGGCTGGCTCCATAACGTGAACAATAAAATAGAAGCTTAGCCCTTTATGCATAAGCTGAAGATTTAGTGCTCCATTAAATGTTTGTAAGCAAAACATCTAAGTCAATAATAAGTTATCCAGAAGATTGTACTCTGCCAACCCGAACAAAACAAATGTGTCTTTGCTGTCATGTTGTTGTATTGGTTAAAGTTGACATCTTGTACTCGGAGGCATGTTATTTTACAGGTAGTCAAACTGATGGTAATGTCAACTTTGGCATATTTCACTAATTGTGTGTTTCTGCATCAGACTGCTACTAAAAATACACCTCATGACAATTTAAAATAGATTATTTTCTTAGCGCTCAATGTAGAAACTTGCGTTTTGAGCTAAGATTCCTTGTTAAATAAATCTATCAGGCACATACACAAGCTTTAAAATACATTCAGAAAACCTGGGAATGCATAGATCAAGGCAACTTTAAATGACTACAGAGAAATCTGGTTCTTTAAAAGGAAAATATAAATGCGAAAAAAATTAATGTTTTAAAACACAAAACAATTAGCAGTGACTGAACTCTACAAACGTGTAACCATGCACATAAATGATTTTTTCTTCTTGAGGAAAAGGCCTTAAGTAATAGCTTCATGTTTCTTTTTTCTCTTCATTATTATGGATACATGGTCTTGTCTTCATGTTAACAATAGAACTAACAAAGAGGTCTAAAGTTCATCTAGTTGAAATTCTGACTAATACAGTTTAATTTTCTTCACATAACCTCTGTTGCTACTTATGTTGCGTTATCCCCACAGTTATCTTCCACTTTATGCAAGACTTAACACATTTTAATGGCGCAAATCTTTTAGGGTCCTTTGCTAAATGGATGGACGAGCGGACGGGCTAATGCTCAGAACCTCGACCTGAACCGCAATTTTCCTGATCTCACCTCCGTCTTCTACCGGAACCGTCGCAGCAGGCACTACCGCATAGATCACATCCCAATCCCTGACTCCTACTGGTTTGGGAAGGTAGAAGAAAATGAAGCAGCTTTTCACATCTTAACTGCCTGAACACCCAACCTAAATCATGTAGTTCCAACTTTTGAACTCCAGGTGGCACCAGAGACCTATGCAGTAATGAAGTGGATCAGGTCACTGCCATTTGTTCAGTCCGCCAGCCTCCATGGAGGTGAACTGGTGGTCTCCTACCCCTTCGACTTCTCCAGACACCCGCAAGAGGAGAAGATGTTTTCACCCACTCCAGACGAACAGGTGGGGACTCACAAAAAAACACTTTACTGACACAGCAGGGCGGGCAGATTGTCACTTTGTCTCGGCTTTTCTACTACCAATAATCTTCCAACACTCAGATCTTCAAGCAGCTCGCTCGCACTTATGCTGACGCTCACGCCACCATGTCAAACAATGACACGGAGCGGTGCGGGGCCTCTTTTTATCGTAACAGAGGCATCATCAACGGCGCTCTGTGGTACAGTTTTGCTGGGGGTGAGATACCTTCAAAGTGCATCACATTTACCAACCCTAACCCTAACACCTGTTCCCAACATTACCCGAACACCTTTTGTCCATCTGCAGGTATGTCTGATTTCAATTACTTGCACACTAACTGTATGGAGATCACAGTGGAGCTTGGCTGTGACAAATTCCCTTCAGAGGCTGAACTCTACCCAGAATGGAAAAGGAATAAAGAAGCTCTGCTCAGTTTTCTTGAGTCTGTAAGTGTCCACGGAATAAAATTAGCCTGTTAGGAGGTGCTACATTTGCTCAGTCCAGAACAAATGTACTCGGTTGTGAGGGAATTTTGGTTGTGATTGTGCTCTTCCTCTCTGGACAGGTCCACAGGGGAGTTAAGGGTGTTGTGAGGGACACAAATGGAAACGGTATAAAAGGTGCAACTGTCTCAGTCAGGGGGATTAGAAAAGATGTCACTACAGGTAAAAACACAAATCCAAAGTTACAATAATATGTTTGCGTTTCTGTTTGTGCAGAAAACCCCCCAAAAAGCAACGTTTTGTGGAATTGTACAATTTCACCATTTCTGTTCATTTCACCTTAACTCACTTGCAGCTGAGGATGGAGATTACTGGAGGCTGGTGAATCCAGGAACTCACATCCTGACAGCCACTGCCAAAGGTTACTCAAAGGTCAGCAAGAGGGTTTATCTGCCTCACAACTTGAACAAGGCTGGACAGGTCAACTTTGTGTTAGAGAAGGTTTGTATTCTTGACTTCTTAACGTTGTATTTTAAAGTTCACTGTTTCATTCAAAGGTTTCCAAACTAATTGTTTGGGGTGAACTAAAAGAACAAATAATAATAATAATAATAATAATAATAATAATAATAATAATAATAATAATAATACATTCTACAAGATTAAGAATAATTGATAATTTTCTTTAGTTTTAATTCATACATTTCAATTGACTTCTCCATTTTTCACACAAACAGCTTCCCGTGGAGCCAGACATAGATGACCACCTCTTCCCCATGGCAGACAGCTGGGATCGATTTGACCCCTATAACCAGTTCGAGCGCCATGGCGAGCCCGTTGTCACCGAGGAGGGAATAGAGCGGCAGGAGAAACCGTGGTGGTGGAACTACTTCTCCCAGTCTGGCATGTCATCTCCAAACTGGCTGCTGAAAAATGTATAGATAGAAGTTGGAAATATGAACATCCAGATGTGCTGATACATAAGAATGAATGGACCTACATCCAATGTCATCTGTCCTTCCAGGAGTTGTAACACTGATGTCATCAGTCACCAAAAACTTCATCTGTGCATTTTCAAAAGATTTGAAATGACATACTTAAGCTTTTTAGCAAATATTATTCTGCAGCTGCATTTAACTTGGGTTGAAAAAGTTATATAAAATAGAAAGGATATGCATACTAGAGACATGAGTAGAAACAGGCACCTGATAGGATAGGATTTTTATTTCCATTGAGCAGCAGATTGAAATATTCTAGATTTTAAATTCAGGTTGGGTAATATTTCTAATTTCTAATATTGCCAAATGCAAAATTTTCTTCTGTTTTTGTCTGTTGTTTTGTAGCTAAAAGGCAACAGTGGCACATTTAAAACCATTTGAACCACTATTAAGCTTCTGCACTACTTCTGCTTCTGATAAAAGCAGTTCTGCACCATCACTGTGTTAAATGGTTTGCTTTGAGTCTTGTTTCAGGTCATAAAAAAATAAATCTAAGTCTATACATATAAAATTCTGTCACATATTTTATCTCAAGGTTATTTTGTGAAAAAGTCTAAAGATTCTTGAATTGCCTCACTTTGGACAGCAGAGGGCGAGAGCGAATAAGTGATGACCTCAGTTATAGGCGCAGTTATTGGAGAATCAAAAACGTCAAAAGTTTAGCGCTTCAATGTTAATTTAAAATCTCACTGTTCATTGTCCTTATTATTGGGTGTCTGACAAACTGAAGATGAAGAAGAGCGTAAAAAAGCTTTATCCATTGCTGTGACTTACCCACAACGATCCTCTGGGTAAAAAAAAAAAAAAAACGCAGGCGGAATATTATGTGCTGATGTTCCTCCTTGAAAGCAAAGTGTTCTGTTTGGTGTGCAAAATGTCTCCTGCACCCAATTTTCAACTTTTTACCCGAGGGATCTCATTGTTTCAAATAACTGGATACTTTGTGAAAAAATGAACACGTTTCTCCCTTAAAAGCACTTCGACAATGACTTGAAAATCAGATGTCATTTTCAGCAAACTGTTGCCGCAACAGCTGATAGTTAATGTATTTAACATTAAAGTACGAGTCTAAGTCTAAGTCTATTTCATGAACTAAAGTGAGAAGCAGGAATATGGTTTTGTCCATGATGTTGATTTGTATCCTGTAAGTTTTCCTTTGGATTCTTTCATATTGAGATTGGCCTATTGGCTCAAGAATCCAGTTATTGTCGACTGAGGCCTCTGAAACCTTTTTTCTTTATATTTTTTGTTTTTGTTCATGTTTCAAAGATTCTGTGATAATGACGTGGAGCCATATCAACCACTGAATTCTCAGCATTCGGTGTTCTTTGCACGTACTGACTTCAGTCACTTCAATTTTGAACAGAAGTGATTTGCAGTAATAATATGTGACTCTGTATTTGTCCTGTCCTGGAAAGTAAAATACAATGTAAGATATTCCAGTAAAGCAGTAAAAACAAATCTTCCCATCCTCACACCAGGTGAGGTAATCAAACTTATAAATCATTTGACCAGATATAAAAGAGGTTGTTTCATCTCAAACCTTTCATGATTCACAGAAAGAATTTGAAAAACTGCCCTTGCATTTTAACTCACGATGATTTGTTTGTGCCACAAAGGTAAACCATCATGGAAGAACACATCTCACAACAGTAAAACATTTTAGAAACCAAAAGATTTGAATCTATTCTCTCCCTTTTCTGAGTAGATATCTTCATATTCTTTTCTGCTTATATTTTTCAGTCTTACATTTTCTCTATTCCCTATTAAGTTTTCTTGATTATGACATCACCACATTTGCTGTGTAACTGCTAAACAAAGTCATAACTTCTGGCTAATCGGTTTTGTGAATCTGTCACTTTTTTTTCCTCGCTATGGTTTTCAAGTCAAAATATTCCGCGATAGCGTCTATTAACAGACTTGATTACTTACATTATCCCCTGGCATCAGAGCCTCTTCAAAGTGTTTGGTTAAATTGAATATTTCTTAGGAAAAGTCAGTGGGAGAAGTCCGTTTTTGGAGCACTTATCGACCACAGCTTCAGCAACCGCAGCCAGTATCAAAAGGCATTTTCTGAAATACTTTGTCTGAGTAAGTTGTCAGTTCCTTCTCTTTATGGAAATGAGGAACACGGCAAAGCTGGAACCTGCTAGCGATGCTAAAATGACAGCAAAACCAATTTTAGACACAAATTTTGTGTTTTGATAATGACATCTTAACCACTGGTTTGGTTGCATTGAGCCTTCTGCTTCTGTTAGCGCTGAATGCTATCTTTTAGCTACCTGGTTGAGAATATAGCTCAAGAAGGATGTAGCTCCCATGTTTTGAGAATAATACATTTTGTTTGTTTTGGGGAACATATGCATTCAGTGACTTTATTGGCTAACTCCTTAATTATGTCAAGGCTTGTTCACTTCATTCATATTGCGGTAGCATTAATATTCTAATATGTGCCTGACATGCTACCGATTCACTATCGATAAACTATGCTCCATAGGGCAGGTAATTGGTATGAATGGAGAGGATGTAAATGAAGTAAAAACACCATTGTGATGCATTCATTTGAAGGCGTAGTTCTGCAGGTTGTCTTAATTTTTGTGCTCTGGGTCAGACTCTGGCTCCAACATGTAAGGTTGGATGGATAAGTCTTCCGTTGTTGACACCTTTGATAAACTTGAGAATGAAAGTTTCTCTTCTGGTAGACAATTGCACTGCTGCTTCCAAAACTACAAAAAATGGCTGAACGAGGTGGAGTGGAACTGAGTTCTGTCAGTTTTCAGGGCGTCAGGTTAATCTTATCAATCTTAACTCGAAGGAACATCTCTTGTCATTTATCACGCTGGCTACATGCAGACGTATAGCAGACCTACTGCCAGTCAGTCATACAACAGAGTGAACGCTTGTTTTATAATATCAAAGATCGCTACAGAGAATGAGGGAAGCTGTTGAGGCTTTTCTGTTGTGTAAATCTTCGCTGATGTTTCCAACATGTCATTTTTTTATTCTTTTGGTTTCCTTGAAAAATAAATGTCTTTAGTGTTTATTAGTGTGTGAGCAGCATTTAATTTCCTGTTCTTTTTTAGTTTTTTGCATCATCAACAAAATCTGCTTTCAATATCAGAGCTGGGAAAACATAAAGATGCATTTTGCATTTGTAGGTTTTCTGTGAAAAGTGATTATTTATTTTTTTTTTTTTTTGCATCATGCTATAATTATCTCTGTTCCAAGGCAACATGCTCCCAGATGTCTCCTCCTTATGTTTCTGAAGTGAGTTTTCCATCTGGCACACTTCCACCAAAGCTACAGACTCTCCCTTTCTCTCTGGTCTCCCCACTACACTCTCTAGTCACTTTCAATCTAGCTGCATTGGTTTCTCTTACACAACACTTTTTAACACTCTGCATATATAATGCAAATACCACACCACTTTGCTCTGAACCTCTTCTATTCCCCTCCTTTACTTTGGCGTCTTTTTTCACGTCCATCTCTGTGTCCGTCTGTCTTTCTGTCCCGCAGCTATCTAGCTGCTATGCCCCAGGAGTAGACGCCTGCTCAATGTGGCAGAGATGATTTGTTTGCTTTGCAATTATTTTCCATCAGTGGAGACAAATGGATTCATATTGCATAGAAAACCCACATAGACAAGGCCAGAGTGATGAATGCATTTGAAACCAACTGATGTCCACTCCCCATAAGACAAAGTCGAGCCTTTTGATGCAATAATGAATTGCTTTATGAAAATAGGTACAGGATAATCACAGTGATATACCGAGTTTGCAAACAAGACAAAGTTCATATATAGATGTTGTTATCTATCAGTGGTGTCATTCCTCTGAAGTTTAGCAATACTGTTCAAACTGTAGGTCGTTGTTTTGTTTTGGCAGAAGTTAATGTTAGAATTTCCTAAAAGTAAAACAATACAGCTATGGTAAAAAAAAAAAAAATCATCATAATGTGTTAACCCGTTATAATAGCACTTTGTTAAAACTACAAAACATATCTGATGTATTACAAATGTAGTCATAGTTTCGTCAATATCAGTCTCTATTATCAGGAATCTGAACACTAACGTCTTTCAGTCAGGATGTCTAATTACGAGCTTTACAGAAAGGAATGAAATGAATATTGATTTCAGCAACTACTTGAACAAAAAACTACACAAAATGTTACCTATTCTATATATTTTCACAGCTGCTCTGTTTGGGTTTGAGTTTTGTTGCAAAGCAAACGGTGAAATTAGAACTTCTTGGTACAAATTTGATCTTGCTTCCAAATTCTGCCGCGGTCAAATCTTTGAGACAGTGTTCCGCAACCCACTTCGTAAAGTCATTCTGATATTCTTCTATTGATTTTCTTTATCTGCTACATTCTGCCATTTATTTTGCTCTGCTAATTCGCTAAACCACAGAAACGTCTGCCAAACAAAGCAGTTGTGTACATTGACGCTGTTATGGCTTTTGTAGATTTCCACAACATAATTTTATTTTTCTAGATTTGGGTCTAGATTTTCTAGATTGTGTCCTCAAACAATACTTGGCCATTTATATGTTTATAATTGTACTCAAAAATTACTGAGAAAATGTTTTCTCCAATGTTTCTAACCTTTTGCGTTTTAAAAAGAAGCTTCATAAACAGACTTGACATGATTAGTTCTTTCTGTTTGTTTTATAGAACTGAAATACACAACTACACTGCAGGCCTTTGCCTATGAACTTTCAAACTATCCTCCGTTAAAGAGATTAACCTTTTCCTCCTGACTCATGTCTTCTTGATTTTTCCCTTTCTCCTGCCTCTGGTCTTCGTTCTGCTGTTTAGCCTGGCCTCCGCATTTGGAGTGTCTGGTTTGACAACTCCTTGTCCCGTCTCTCCCCTCCTCTTTTTGCCTCTCCTTTGCCCTCCCTCCCTCCTTTTATACGAAGGGCAGGTTCAGGGGTCACCAATTACTCTAAGAGGGCTGAGAAAGTTGTATGGGCTCTGCCCTCGGGGCTGCCATGTTGTATTATCATCAGCGAGATTGCAGGTACGCTGCAGCCACTGGCTCCCGGCACAACAGCCACAACCTTAGCCTGAGCACAAGATTGTATAGCTAGATTCAAACTCTTCTCATGCCTGAGTGGTTGGCTGGCTCCTCGTCTGCCTCTTTCTCTTACTGACCTGCTGGGCAGAACTAATACATGCCTGGACTTCAGAAAACTCGGCTTTGTGATCATGAGCACAAGGACAGTATGTACATATTTCACTCAGCCTGTCATGATAGTGCAGATAAGAGTGGATTTAAGTCTTTATATGTTTTTATAGTTTTTCAATTCATACAAAAGGCACAGTAAAGAATGAGAATAATGGGAATCAAGGAGTATAAAGTTGGTCATGGAGCACTATGATCAACTGGATTGCAAGTACGCTGCATAGGTGCAAAAACATTGGGGGTAATGTTAACAGACTGCTAAAAAAAAAGGTCGTCAACAAAGTTCAGCATATTACACTAAGAATCATCAGCTCTTCATCAGCCCTATTTGTTTTGACATTAGGCCTGTGCAGACACAGCATTAACACAAATCCTAGCTGGTCCACATGTAAATGGACAGATTTAAACCGGAGGGTTTACACCTGACATTAAAAACCATCTAGAGCACTTAGACCTGCTACCTGCTCGGCATGCAAACAGACACGTTGCCATGTCCCGCGGGGGACGTCAAACAAATAACAAATGGTCCATCAGGACATCTCGTGATGCTTTGGTGAGATCACGAATACATCTTGTCTACATTAATAACATGATACACATTTACGTAATCAGAAAAGTTATCAGCCTAATTATTTAACAAAAGCCATGCAAAATGAGAAAAGCAAAGCGTCACAAAACCTAAGTGCCTTTTCACATAACACTTTGAGCGGGCACTGAACTTGTTTTCTGGAAAGACTGTGGGAGAACATGATCTTGAAGTCTACCTGCTCTGATGTGTCTGAGCTGATGTTTTTGCCCAAGAGTGTGACATAGCACCCATGGTAAACCGTGCAAAGACACATCAGGTCAGCAGACTTCATCCATGGGCTGTTTCTTCAGCAGCATTATACTTCATCATGGAACTAAAATGGGTTCTGCTGTGAAGCAGGGGGCAAGTGAGAACAAAAAAACAATAGATGTGTTTCCATTACAAATGAGGACAAAACTTTTTTGACATTCTGCTAATGTTGAAAAAGAAACAACACAATTTTGCAATTGGGGTGTTTCCATTCAATGAAAAACACAATTAAAATCACGTGAATAAGTTTGTACAAGCTTTGAGTCATTAAAGAATGTTCCAGGCCATCATCCTGCCACTTGTTGTCTACTTCATCTGTTACGCCTGTAGTAACATCTGGTTGTTGATTACATGTCTGCAATGCAAAAGAAAGTATTTGCAGTTTTGTGGAATGCATAAATTTTTACACAGCTGAAAAACCACCACAACCTAGGGCAA